TTTCTTAAGAATTCACCAATTGCTGAACGAGCCACTGTTAAAGGCCTTCTTGGATCCAAGGAAATGCAAAAATCAGATGCATCGTCCTCACCGACTACTTCATCTGTGCGTACCATAGAGTCGTCAGCTTCAATCAAAACTCGCAGAATCGCATAACAAGCACAATAATGTGCTAGACACCATGATCCAATGTCATCAGCATTTTCTGCTGGAGAATAAAACCCAATGGAAGTTACAACTGAAGGAATCATTGACAACCAATTGATATAGACTACATCTGAGACATCGCCTTGAACACAGTCGGTAGTCAAACCGAACTGCTCCAGAACAAGAGGTAAGTCAGATAAATTAATTCCAACGCACTCAGCTCGACACTTATCTATTGCAGATGAAAGGTTTAAAAACTTGCTGTCATACGTTTCTCCTGGTTCATACCAACTTTTTACAGGACCTCCATTTATGACATATTCAGTAGTTTTCGTGTGGAAATTTCGTTTTCCATAACAATCACGCCGAAACAGTTTACCTGAACCATATCCCGTCAGTTCATGAAGTCCAACTTGTAATTCAAAGGAACTTTCAGCAAGTTCCACGTACATTTGTTTGTCTTCATTACGTAGAAATTCTGGTTTAGGATCTTCGAGACGAACACTAAGTACATTATTCAAAGAAACATTTTTAAATCCATCAACTTGTCGTACATCATCATAGTTAGGAATATTAGTTCTGACAGGAATTCCAGCAGTTGCAAACGTCACCACATCCAAACTAGTAAAGTCTGGCTGTAAGAAATTAACTTTTTCAAATGTAGAAGGCCATGATAAATTTGTTAACAACCTTTCAGCATTATTTACAAGTCGCTGGAATTTTTTAGACACTGACCTATTTACAACAGCGACAAATGATTCAAACTTTGCACGAACGCCAAAGGGATCACGGTATGACTCGATAAACCCAATATAGTTTACAACAACAGGGTTCTTATCTTTAACCCATAACCTGAAGGCATCTTTGTGAGTGGCTACTGAGCCAGTAGTGAAGCTTTCAGCATACTGATGCCACATTTCTGATTCAATTTGGTTAAGCGAATGTGCTTTAAAATCTTTACAACAATCGACTAGTAACTCCATCAGCTCACTATAGTCACCATATTCCAGCTGCAAAGATGTGTCCGAGGGAAGGGCATCTCTTAACTTCTCACGACGTTGACTCGGAGGGATTTGCAGGTCATGGTAACGTTGGGCTAACTGTCTTTGTTTTTCTTGGATAATAGGAGCGTCGAAATGACTTTCTGCAGCAAGCGTGTCAGCCTGGACTTTGAATGTATCTATACGTTCACAATGAGTAGCTACATCAGATTCAAGCAAGTTGTACCGCTTTTGTACGTTCATCACACCGTTTAGATCACGAACGACATCCTCTGAGGCTATCTGAGCTTCAACATCATTCAACCATAACTCGACATCTTCTGTGTTGCGAGCGAACTGTTGTTGCCTACTTGCTTGATCTAAATCTTTCTTCTTGTCTCCCATGGCATTTACGAGATGAGACCAAGTTTCATCCAACTGTTCAATCTTTACTTTTATTTCTGGCGAGTTGTAGTGGTTTGCATTTAACAAATCCTGACCTGTCTTTTTAATATCTTCAACGCGGGATTGGTTCGCTTGTATTTCTGCCTCAAAACTCTGATGCTTCTGCACCTTTGTTTGCAAATTCGTGGAGTCTTTGTAACTTTCATCAACTGCATTTCATCTGCATCTCTATCGAACATTTGGTAACGGTGGGAATCTTCAAGACGCTGACGGAGGTTCTGAGCTTTCTCCTTTAATGCATTTCGTCTATTTTGAAGACCTTCCTGAATCTCATCAACCTGTGCAGCCGCATAGTGGTTTGATTCGATTAATTTTGCAGCGAATTCATCAAGTTGTCGCATCTTTTCTTCTTGTGCTAGAAGCGACTTTTCGAAGTCTTAATGTTTCCTTATGAGTGCTTCCACAGAATCGAGTGAGTCTCCCACATCTTTTATTTCTAGGAAGGCCTGTTGCTTACCAATCCAAGATTCCGACTGTTCAGCGTCGCGGTAAAAATACAGAAGGCCCATACACTGTTCTAGCTGTTCACGTCTTTCTTCACACAACTGCATCAGGGAGGCTCTCCCTCTTTCAAGGGTGGAAAGTTTAGCAGCTATGTCTCCACTACAGGGATGGCCAACTCTTTGTAATGCCTGACCTTCTTGCATGCATGTATCGAAACTGTCAGCTCGAAAATTTATCTCAGCGGTGTATTCCTTATGTCGCTCTACTTGGGCTTCAGCACCAGCTATATCCTTTGCCAAATCATCCGCCGATATTAACGTCTTCATGTCATTTATCCAGATGCTCAAGTCTCTCCAGTCAGCCAAAAAGCGATGCATCTTGAATGACTCTTCCAGTTTGCCTTCTCCTACCTACAGCCTGACTTTTCAGCTTATCCCATGCAGTGATTAAGGCATCATACTTGCCTTGTATAGTGTTTTGCGAATCAGGATGCTTCTGTGCAAGCGCCTTAGCATCATTTCCAAGTTGAACAATCTTTTTATCTGGGGCAGTCAAATCCCTTTCTAATGCTTCGTGCTTCCTTTGTAAGGCTTGGACTGAGGCAAGATCACGACCACAGTCCTCAATGGATAAAGGAATGAACTTTTCATTCACCAACGATATAGCTCCATCTATGTCTCTAAAGAAGCGCTGTATCTCATAGGCTTCCAGGAGCTTTTCTTGTCGTTTTCTAGCCAGATCCTTCAGACGTTCTATAGCTTCGCGGACCTGTCTGAACTTTTCTATGACTACGGTATCCTCAGGAAATTTCTCTTTTAGAAGTTCATCTGCCTTCCGATAGATGTCTTCTGCACGACTTTCTTGATTCTCGAGATCTTTTGTAAACTCATTAAACCCTTTTTGAAGTGTCTCAGCATGTTACAAGTCTTGACCTAAATCCTCTGATGTTACGTAAGTTTCTTTTTCACGTATCCAGAAAAGTATTTCGTCGACTTGGCGTAAAAACTGGACAAATTTAAGCGTTAGGTTAATAAGACGTAATTTTTCTCTGAAAATAGCCATAAGCCTTTCCCACAGGGCATGCAGTTCATCAAGACGGTTTTTGATAATATCTGTTGCGTAGTGTCCCTGACCAATCATTTCTTCTCCCGCAGAATCCAGAGCTGACAGTGTTTCAGCATGAACTGTTACTTCGAACTCAAACTCCTGATGTTTCTGGTTTTTCAGATGAAGATTACTGAGTTCTTTAAAATCCTCATTTGCATATGTTTGCAGTTTTTTATTGATCCAACACTCAAGTTCATCGGCATCCTTCTTAAAATATTGATATCTTTCAAGCATGTCCATAAACTTAGATATGGCTATGGTGAACTCACCGTTAAGAGATACAGTGACTTTATGGGAAGTAGAAGGTTTGTAAGGCGATTTATTGTGACCAGAACATTCGCGACTACCTTGTCGTAATCTTTCTAATTCCATTTCTTTCTCTTTTTGGACTATGCGCAATTTCGCTAGCTCCAATTCTACCATACGGTGTGATTTATTCTCTTTGCTTCCAGGGAAATCAGCCTCATTACTCTTTTCTAACTGTGGAGTTAACGATGGCATAGTTTCATAACTTTCGTCTGCCATACTGTTCGAAACTTTGTAGGATTATTTTTGTCCTACAGATTTAGTCCTTTCTCAATATTTATATTTTTTTAATATTTTTGGTTACAGCTTGATGCCACCTTGTATTTTCAGTACAAGTATGGAATTTTCAGCATGGATATCGGTAGCCCAAATTTTGCAGACCGACCATAGATATCGGGTGTGCGTCAGCAGGGGATCGAACCTCGGATCATGTGCATGGTCGGCGAGAGTGCTAACCACTGTGCCACCGACGCACACTGTAATACTGACGACACAGAGTCTTGGCTTAGCTATAGTTAAAACAGAATGACTTGACTTAAACTTTATCTGTTTCTAAAACATAAAATAAATCATACAATTACACCAAGTAAATGTACAAATCCACTGTCATTCAAAAAAGGACAAAAGCGTACCGAACAGTATTGAAGGAACGGACAAATGAACAGTTAATTAATTACATGTATATACAAATAAAGTGACAGACAACAAAGAACATTCAAGGTCACATCACGTGGTGAGAGTTACAATAAATTGACGAATAATCGCGACAAGAAGGTCACATCATATTGATTAGCTGTCTATCATATAGTCCATCTACCTGTCGTGATTAACAATATGTTCATAAAGCCAAGTTAAACTTTAGACACCAGTCACTTCCAATCAGCGAACGACGTCAAATTATCCGATGAGATTCACGGCTGAAATTATCCCGCATGCTCAAGGTCATTGATGGAGTGAGACGCTCAAAGGTCATTTTCGTCCATGTTAGTCGGTTATGTTGGATTGCAGTTCCGTAGCCGTTCTTTTACACATTGGTTTCACGTTCTGTTGGCATTTATAGGTGATTCCCATATAGTGATAGCATTCTTTTGTAAAATAGTACTGTTCTTCACACGAAAATAGCCACATTTTGACGTAGTCTTCATTGAATGACACTATGTCGAAAGCTGCACCTTCTACAAGAAATAAACTATTTGTGTAGATGACGTTACCTCCAACCACCCCATCTTCTTCATTGTAGAGATGTTTTGACGCATTCAGTATGAAACACTAATCATTACAACCAATATGCTAAGTGTGTCGCAGTCAGATTAAATGACGCGGACACCAACATAACTAGCCAGGAAATGAGAATTCTTATCAATCCAGAAAACATATAACAAAAATTTTATTAAAAATTATTGACAAAAGAAATTTGCCAAGCGAAATTTCAAACAACATGCCGGATAAGTCCAGCCAGATTCACGAATGTAGTTCAATGTTGTATAGCGCCTGATTCATTTCAATGCGTGCCCTTACAAGGTTACGTTTGCAATTCGAGGAGGATAGTGTCTTTCAGTATTGCTTGGACTTAGGCTTGCTTCGAAAGGAGAGGGAGGTATCATGACCTTAAAAAGCTATATTAGGTCAATTGATGGATTTGTCCATCGTTGTGGTATATGCTCCAAGCGTGTTAGCATTAGAGAGGGTAAGTTGATAATTTTAATATTTCGTAGGAACCTTTTTTGCAATGTCGCACCTCTCCTTGACGCAAATTTTATATATCTGCAACTACTGGGTATTAAAACAGCCAGTGAGAGCAGCAGCTGCGGAGACGGAGAACAGCCTCGTCTCAACAGTTCAATGGTACCAGTATTGCAGAGATATTGAATCCTGGAAAATCGAGAAGATCACTTCGTTGTTGGGTGGAGAAGACGTTATCATGCACTTGGATGAAACTGTGATGCTGAAAAAGAAATACAACCGTGGTCGCCAGCGAGCGAATAATATCTGGGTGATAGGTTTATACGATACTTCCTTACGAAAGGGATTCGTTGAAAGAATAGGAGATAGAAAGGCGACAACGTTAATACCTATTATAACGAGACCCATCAAACGGGGTTCAATTATACACACGGACGAGTGGAAAGGTTATAATTCGCCTTCATCCTTGGGATATAGTCATCACCGAGTGAACCATTCAAACGATTTTGTGGATCCAGTTGCCGGAACTCATACAAATTCTATTGAAGGATTTTGGGGCCGGTTGAAAAATCTGGTAAGGGCTATAAATGGATCCCGGAAGGATCTCATTTATAGTCATTTAGATGAATATATATACATATATATACAGAGTGTGATGCGACTTTCCTATTGACAGTCCGTTGCTGAATTGGGAAATGTTTCTGTCCCATGTTCGTGAAAGATACCCGTTGTAATTGTTTTATCCTATTTTTTATGCATTTTTCTATAAATATACATTACCACTTATCATAAACGCCTCTTTCTTGTGATTGGTCCGTTCAAGGTCGTTTGCTGATTGGTTGTTACTGGTGTCTAAAGTTTAACTTCGCCGGATTTCATCATGAGCTGACAGCATTTGGAGAACCACTGGAAAACCTGGGAGGACTGGACAGCTGTTTCGTCCTAGTTTGTGACTCTGAGGATATATATATATATATCACCTGAGGTAATGGTGTAGTCAGTGGTGAAAGTCTGGAGATGTGATCTGTGGTTACTTCACATTTTTCATGATCCTCCTTGATTTTAACTGTGTAATGATATTGGGATATCAGTTTGACGCCTTATTCTTGAGGCTTATGTAAGTTTTAAGTTAAGTGCATGTTGAATTTCAGCTGTGATTGACGAATTCATTAAAACGCTTTGTTTTTAGCTGTGCAGTCTGCAGTTCTCTGTCATCTGAAGTCCCAAAAGTGATAAACAGGCTTCATCACTAAACTTGAATGTACACACATATTTCATTATGTTGTAGTGAAGTTGTGTCTACGCCCTCTACTACTCATTCAAGAAGAGAATAATTAACAGATGAAGCACTAACAAAGCCTTTAATTCTCAATCTAAGATCTGAAATTCTCTACTAATTACCCTCGTGTTTGCTCTGTTCATTTTTCCCGTGATCAGTTCTTTTCATCGGGAAATTAGTATGTACAAACTGGTTATATTGAAACTAATCTTAATTTGTTTTTGATCCTTTTCTACCTGAATTTCCTGTAGCTTCTCTTTCAATGCATGGGAATTAGTCAGCCTAGAATTTGACCAATTTCTAAATAAGCGATGATATTTGTGTTATCTTCGATAATTCACATGTCGAAGTTTTCTAATCTGTCATACTTTTCCCACGCTATCTTCGTTGATCCGCTGACTTCGACATCTATTGGTCTTACCATTTTTCTTCTTTTTAACAGGGAAAGGTTGAAATCACAGAAGAAGGCATTAAATTACTTGGAAAATTGACGAAATCATTGAATTCTGCCAACACAACAAATGGTGGATGCCCCATAGCTGAAAGTCCAATGAAAGAAAACATTTCAACGCCACATGATGGTAAAAGCAATACATCTAAGAAAAGGAAACGTGTAGCTACTCCTTCTCCTGAGAGAGTTAAACAACCCAGTCGAACTTCATTAAAGGGAACGAAGCACAATTGTGAAGGAGATGAACATTCTTCTCAATCTGGTATTACCGTTGGTACTTCTTCATCAGTGCATATTCCTCCCTTTCATACTGAACAGCCGATAACATCTGTAAAACAACCCACCAGTGTCAGGTTTCTCGATGCTTTTGAATATGGGGAGGAATGGCTTCCTGGCTTGTTGAAACCAACGAACTTGAAGAACTTCATCAGGTGAATTTGTTATTTCGGTTATATATTTCTAGAAATGCTTTTCATGGCTCACCACGCCAGGTTTCTGACCCATATTTAATATAAAGCGGCTTACTTAACAGTGGTGTTAGACAGAATCCGAATTTCGTTCTTTATACTGTGGAGTGCAGCTGATTTCAGAGTTATGAATTCTGCCTTGCCCTTACGATTCTTGTTTTGATATCCTCGTCCATCCTTTCTACTATAGTTGACACGATGCTGCCTAGATAAGTGAAAAAGAGGCCTCTTTCAAATTTCTTCCGTTGACAGTGATTAATGGTTGTTATTATTGTTGTTGGTTATCGGACATTTTCCTCACTTCCATTTTCTCTGTGCTCACTTGAAGTGTTGTCTCGTGAATCTGAATAGTTCAGTGGTAATGTCTCTGACTGCAGCACTCCACTGAGCGACCTGGCTTGTTGAAGTCTCCCAGAGGTGACGTCGTTAGTTCTTTCAAGATTCCAGATGCGCCTTTCTGGCTGGCGTTAATGCCAACAAGTAAGAAAGCTAGGTCCACACAGAGATTCCTGCCTATTACCTTCAACCATGTAAAAAAATCAATTCAAAGTGCGACATAGTAGCTAGCCACCTAGTTTGATGGATGTCGAAGGCTGGATTCATGACGCTAAATACCATCTTGTGTCTAGTCGTATTATGTTGTGAATGATCTTGCGTAATCGAAAGAGCTGACAACTAATTCGTTCATAGTGATGAATAATCATTTGGAAATGCTTATTGATAAAGAACAAGGAGGAACAAATAGACTAAGAATGGCCAGCATGGAGTTTATTATAGAACAAAGTCGTAAAGCTGGTGAAAAGTGGGATGAGTATGTAATCAACAGCAATCGGTGAGATGTTTCCTCCACTCATATGACGAGGATGCTGTATCCCCATTGTGACGATGGGGGGTCACTGGATCAGATTGGAAGAGAGATAGCGATGGCCAAACAAAAACATGGCATCAGACCATAAAATCTTTCAAAGTTAGTTTGAGATAATGACTTGCCGATCACCATCGCGTACCTCATTAGATCCGTTGACGATACAGTTGGCATATGGATGATTTGAAACAGCCACAAAGAGATGCAAGGTTAACTTTCTGTGAGAAACAACCAATCAAAAGACTTTATTTTCTACTAACAATAATGTACATTAAAATCTATAAATATGTGTTGATTTTCCTTAATAAGCGATCTGTTGCCTGGCCCTTGACTTCTGTTAATTTTTTTTCAGATGTAAAATAAAATGCAATTTATCTGAAAATAAAAAATCTCCTCACACGTAAAACGTCCCGTCAACTTGGCTGCTGTGAACTTTAAAACGACCACCGTCCAACAGAATCTCTGGCTTCTCCACGTCCGATAACCATTCACGGGCACGAAATGCGGCCAAGTGAGAATAATAAGTTGGCGATGGATACGAGACACTACGCGAACACCTCATGTACGCATAGCATAGGTGGTAGGTGAACAACTGGAGAGCGTCCGATGTCCAGTTACTGTCATCATACAAAACGTGATAATGAGCAGGTTTTGAAGTACCCTGGATCCCTTCTTGTGAGCACAGGTAGAAATCGAATTCCCTGGGATGTGTGATGTCTGTATCAACCACCGTTCCTGGCTCCACGTTTCTCGCCCTAGGCTTGCTCGGTCGAAATCGAATGTGGTGACGCTTCTGCACAACAATATAAGCGATCGCGGGTTCTTCACCAGGACGAATGTCTGCACAAGCTCTCTGAATTGCCGCCAACTCCTCTACCAACACATTCTCGAACTGGCCTTCCGAGACTCCATCACGATAGAATATTATACGCGTTGGGAAACGCCCGTTCGTATTTCGCGAGTAAACCTCAAGCAACTCCTTGACAATAAGACGCATGTCGTCGATTATTTCTCTTGCTCTCTTATTCCCCTTTTCTGTCGTCGCCTGTTGGCGGATCACCACCGCGTACCTCATTAGATCCGTTGACGATACAGTTGGCATATGGATGATGTTACACAGCCACAAAGAGATGCAAGGTTAACTTTCTGTGAGAAACAACCAATCAAAAGACTCTATTTTCTACTAACAATAATGTACATTAAAATCTATAAATATGTGTTGATTTTCCTTAATAAACGATCTGTTGCCTGACCCTTGTCTTCTGTTGTTACAGTAATAATAATCGTAATAATAATAACCGTAAATTCGTTTGCTATTGATTATTTAGCAAAATTTACCCAATAGCATATGATAACTGTGGGACAAATTACACTAGACTAAACCTAAGTTCTGCGACACTCAGTGAGTAATGAAAAGTCTTTCAATGTATATATGTGTAAAATTTGAATTGAGAATGAGGTCAACGCATTTTAAGACAACTGATGCGATAACGGTCTCTTAGGCTGTAAACGCTTCCCCTAATTTCCAAATCATTTAAGGCGGAGAAATTTGCGAAACCTTCTCCATTCTCATTTATTTCACCGCATGCCACGATTGTTAGTGGCTGTCTGTTTTCGACATAGAACTTTGGACATATGTGCGGCAGTTCAAGTCGCCACACTCCATGTAGCACACAAAGCAAGAGAAGAAATTAGGAGAAATGCATAATAAAGACAGTAAACAGAGGTGTGAGACAAAGGTATAGTATAATGAAGAACACAACAGTTTCATTGGAAATCATAAGTCACAAGGAGTGGATGCATCTGCGCCATTGAGAACGATTTTGAGCCATGTCACCAATTGTTTCCAACCATTGGTTTTTACCATCCCGAGGACCCCAACCAGTGAGGAAGTCTACACCTTCCTACGTGGCTCAGACTAACTGTTGTGGAATTCATTGACTGGTGCCATGTTTCAGTTTGACTGCCGCTAGCTCTTTTCCAGCCTGACCCTATATCAGCTAAAATTGCCCGTCGAGGAAGGCGATGACTAGGCATACGTAGCACATGTCCTAGCCATCTCAGTCGATGTAGCTACTTCACAGCCTAGTCAACTGATTTCCCCTCCTTACCTAGCACTCGACGCCTAACCTCAATATTGCTCACCTTATTATACCACTTCACGCGGGAGATGGAACGCAGACACCTATGATCAAAGACAGCTAATCTTTTCATGTCCTCCGCTCTCAATGGCCAGGTCTCACAGCCATAAAGGAGGACGAAGCGGAATGCTGAGCAGTACACACACCCTATGGTCGAGAGTCTAGAATCTGTCGGAGAGTGAAGATATGATCGATACACCCGCTTCCTGGCCTAAAGCCTGGCTGGTTTTCTCGTGTTTGTGCCTCCCGAGCACCATTTAGTCTACGCATGATTATTGAGCCTAGGACTTTAGATACTATATTAGTCAAGCTAATCCCTCTGTGATTATCACAGGAAGAATAGTCTCCCTTCTTGTATATCGGGATAATCAGTGACTTACACCAACCCGATGGGACTTCCTCTGATTCCCAGACGCTGCCTAGAACCTCAGTTAATGCAGACAGTAAACTGTCTCCACCGTACTTAAATACCTCTGGAGTTATTCCATCAGGTCCTGCTGCTTTGCCTAGCTTCAGATTAGTGACAGCTTAAGTAACCTCAGTTAAGGACGGAGGACCTGTGCCTATATCCCATTCAGTTTACAGTTTACAATTTATTTAGGATAGTAGGCTATATGCCTGTGTTAATCCTTTCGATTTGTTACACACAGGAGGTCCAATCTCGCCTTGAATGAATCAACGGATGGCGCTGATACGACGTGTTCCGGTAGGGAGTTCCAATGGTTCACAATCCGATGCGAAAAACGGATCTCCAGACGCAGACGATTCGACCGTGGCTTTTGAACCTTGAGGTGATGTCCTCGCAATTGATTGGTGCTAGAAGGAAGAAATAAATTAGATAAATTTGCTCCAAAATCATTTCTTAGGATACGGTATGCTAGTATTAGGTCACTCCTAAGTCGTCTGTATGACAGTGGAAATAAACCCAGTCGACTTAACCTCTCCTCATATGAGAGGGTTGAGAAACCCTTTATTAGCTTAGTTCCTACGCTTTGCACCCTTTCTAATAAGTCTATTTCGTATTTGAAACACGGGCTCGCTGCCTGGATCCCATATTCCAAATGAGGTCTGATATAAGTCGGATATAATATACGAAATATTTCAGCGTCAAAATTTGCAAAAGCTTTGCGTATGGCCCATAATATTCGAAAACCCTTAGTGGCTGCAGCTCTACTGTTTGTTGCTGTTTTCAAGTCATGCTGCACAACCACTCCCAAGTCCTTGTACTCAGTGACCACTGGGAGAGTAATGCCATCCATTGAGTAATTGTGCACGTGACTATGAGATACATGCATAACTACACTCTTGCTTAAGTTAATTTCCAAGGCCCAGTGCTTACACCAATCACTTAACAAGTTTAAATCTTCCTGCAAAGCAAGTTGATCACTGTCATCGTGTAAGGCCCTCCATATGTTGATGTCATCAGCAAACAGTAAGCAGGATGACCTAAGTACCGATGGAATCTCATTAACATAAATCAGGAAAAGAAGTGGGCCTAGAATTGTACCCTGAGGAACGCCACTTTTAACTGATTCCCATGTTGATAAAACCCCGTTAACTCGTACTCTTTGTCTTCTATCCTTTAGAAAGTCTTGAATCCAGTCGGCAACCACTTTATTGATTCCCATACTGCCTAACTTTACTAGAAGACCTGAATGAGAATCCCTGTCAAACGCCTTGCTAAGGTCGATGAATATGGCATCCACCGGTATATTAGCATCAGCTGAGGTGTTGAATGTTTGGCAGGTTAAGCGTGGCTGTAGGCCAATTAAACTGCTCTTCATAGTGTTCTTTCCAGCGCTCCAGTCGTTTATCCTGGGAGCTAATTATGGTGCCATTTTTCTCCGAGATTGTTTCGCTTATCATTTGCCTTTTGCCACCTGTTTCCCTGATAAGCCTGAATAGTTGTCTGGTGTTCCAATCGCCGATGCCTTTTCCATCTCTTTCGCTTTTGTCACCCACCACTGTTCACGGTCGTTGCAATGACTTTTTGTTAGTTTTCGTTTAAGTACCTTTCGCTCCTCATCATAATCGGAGCTCGCTGGAATCAGTCTCCTTGCGTCAGTCAGTTCGGATAAGGCGGTAGAGATCCAATGGCTTTTATTAACTTTAGGTTTTAGCTTTCACAGCTGTGTCTACAGCTAACTGTATGTTGTGCTAGGCTACCTCGGGGGAAGTCCTGCTGTCGATCTCAGAAACTCGTTTCGCTATTTCTTCCTTAAATAAGGACTCAGTGTCTCGATCTACGGTTAGTGGCTGAAATTATCAGTGGTCTATCCCGGTTTGACTCAGCTAATTGTTGAATGTCTTTGAGACCATTTGAATACTGTCTGGCTAGCTGACTCCTTGGTAAAAATTTTAAATATGCAGCTTACACACAGTTCTAGGTGAGAGTTCGCTACATATATTCCTTTAGAAACCCAGCATACCTTTTAATTAGGTTCAAGGTGAAGGAAACTTAAGGAAATTCTTGAAAGATCTTCAAACTAAGTGAACACTGTCAGGTTTGAATTCCACTCCAGCTACTTCTGACGTGATATAGTACTGGAGTGCACCGACTATTGGTTTTAAGATCGAAAGTAAGGTGTTCAAATGTGTGGACCATCCTTTCACCCACTTATTTGAGAAGTCGCATCACCCTATATCGGCTGTCTGATTGTTGATGAAATTTGAGGATGGATGTGAAAGTTTTGTGTGGCTTTGGTGTGGGACCAAAACATGCCACCAATTGAAGAAGTCTCTAATTGCTGGTTTCAACTACATATGGAGGAGGGCGTAAACACTGTCGAGGTGTGCTCCTAGAAAGGTTTAGAATCAACTGCTGGAGAAAATTGAGATGCATCGAGCATACACGCAGAAGAGACAGGTGGGTATCATCACACGAGTCTGAATTGAAGACAGGAGTGTAAGACAAGACTGCCTACTATCACCGATAACACTCTTGATAATAGTGAACTACTGGGTCACACAACAAAGCGTCAGTGTGTAGCAAGAAGACGGATATTTGTTGGGCTGAAAAAGACTCTCTAGGACTTCTGTCTTTCGAGACTCTTCTGTAACTGATGTCGTACAAACGCGAAGATCTACAGGCGAAAACAAGTTGTCAGAAGAGACAGCGAAGATGACATTCGAAGTGGATATAGAGTTGATGAAAGTACCCAACGACCAACGTGGATAACACAGCTTAGTCACTATCACTTATGAGAGGTCCAAACGAGGTCAGCTCTTTCGCTTACATAGGCAGCGTGCGTTCAGCTACAGGCGGAACTAGTGACAATGAAAAAGAGAAGACATTCAGCGAAGAGACTCTTTTCGGCGAATTCATTCATATAGCTGTACAATCACATTTATATATAAATATTTGTGTGTGTGTGTGTACATGAGGTTTGTCAAGTTTAGATAATTGATTAGTTAGTACAGGAATGATGTAGTATAGAGACAAAGTTAATCAGACAGCAACTAAAGTAAGACTGAGTTAAAAAGATAGATGACGTAATATAATTGGCTAAAATGTTACAACTTAGGTCAGGATAGCAACAGAGGTAATTACAGGTAGAGATTAAGTAGAAGTGAAATTGAGTGAATAAGTTGGATGACGTAACATGAATGACTAGAAACTGAGCGTTGTTCAAGTCAGTAACAGTGGTAGTGAGGTGTAGAAATTGAATCGGGTGGGGGTAGAGAACAAGAAAGTTGAAAATGTAAAATGTTACAATTGAGAAGACAAAATAATACTAATGAAGAGACAGAAGAAAGGATTACAATGGACGTAATCTATCTTATTAGCCGACATGTAAATTCTACCTAATCTTTTCTTCTGTCTCTTCATTAGTATTTTTTTGTCTTCTCAATTGTAACATTTTACATTTTCAACTTTCTTGTTCTCTACCCCCACCCGATTCAATTTCTACACCTCACTACCACTGTTACTGACTTGAACAACGCTCAGTTTCTAGTCATTCATGTTACGTCATCCAACTTATTCACTCAATTTCACTTCTACTTAATCTCTACCTGTAATTACCTCTGTTGCTATCCTGACCTAAGTTGTAACATTTTAGCCAATTATATTACGTCATCTATCTTTTTAACTCAGTCTTACTTTAGTTGCTGTCTGATTAACTTTGTCTCTATACTACATCATTCCTGTACTAACTAATCAATTATCTAAACTTGACAAACCTCATGTACACACACACACACAAATATTTATATATAAA